AAATTTTTCTCAATAAAATACTTGCAAACTGAATCCAAGAACACATCAAAAAAATCATCCCACCATGATCAGGTGAAAATAGGCTTCATTCCAGAGAATCAAGGATGGTTCAATATACATAAATCTATAAATGTAACCCACCATATAAACAAACTGAAAGACAAAAACCACATGATCAACTCCTTAGATGAAGAAAAGGTCTTGGACAAAATCCAACACCCCTTCATAATAAATGTCCTATAGAGATTAAAGGTACATACCTAAGTATAGTAAACATAGTTTACAGCAATTCCATAGCCAATATCAACTTAAATGGAGAGAAACTCAAAGAAATACCTTTAAAATCAGGAACAAGACAAAGTTTTCCACTCTCTCCATACCTATACAATAGAGTATACGAACTCTTAGCTAGAGCAATAAGTCAACTGGAGCATATAGGGGGTACAAATTAGAAAGGAAGAAGTCAAAGTATCTTTATTTGCAAATGATATAACAGTATACATAAATAACCCAAAAATTCCCATGGGGGGAGGGGAACTCCTACAGCTGATAAGCACTTTCAGCAAAGTAGCTAGATACAAAATTAGCTTTAAAAAATCAGTAGCCTCTCCCTGAGGGGGGGGGTGGTGCATCCTTGCCAGGTCACAGAGGAGGACAATGCAACCAGTCCTGATGAGACTTGATAAGCTAAGGTCAGATGGAAGGGGAGGAGGACCTCCCCTATCAGTGGACTTAGAGAGGGGCATGGGAGGAGATGAAGGAGGATTGGGAGGGAATGAAGGAGGGGGCTACAGCTGGGATACAAATGAATGAACTGTAATTAATATATAAAAAATAAAAATTTAATTAAAAAATCAGTAGTCCTTCTATATACCAATGAGAAACAGAAATGAGGGGGGAAAAAGAAATCAGGGAAAGAACAGGTTTTACAATAACCTCATATAATATAAATTGGCGGTAACTTTAACTATGCAAGTGAAAGTCTTGTGTAATAAAAACTTCAACTCACTGAAAAAAGAAAATGAATATATCAGAGGATGGAAAGATCTCCCATTCTCATGTATCAGTACAAATAATATAGTAAAAATGGCCATCCTACCAAAATCAAACTAGCGATTCATTGCAATTCCCATCAAAATTCCAACAGAATTCTTCACAGATCTTGAAAAGAAAATTTTCAACTTCACATGGAAACACACACACACACACAAAAGGAATAGCTAAAACAATCCTGAATAATAAAAGAACTGTGGTAGAAATCACACCACCCTTTATTTCAAGTTGTACTTGGAACTATAGTAAACAAACGAATAAGCAAAACAAAACAAAACAAAACAAAACAAAACAAAACAAAAACCAATATGGTATTGGTACAAAGCAGACAGTTTGATTAATGGAATTAAACTAAAGACCCCAAAATAAAGCACACACCCACATATGCCTGATTTTTAATAAAGAAGCCAGAGACACACACTGGATAAAAGACAAAAGACAGCATCTTCAACAAATGGTGCTGGTCAAACTGGATGTCTGCATGTAGTAGAATGCAAATAAATCCATATCTATCACCCTGCACAAAACTAAACTCCAAGTGAATCAAAGACCTCAACAAAAATCCAGATACACTGAATATGATTTAAAAAAAAAAGTGGGGAAGAACCTTGAACTCATTGGAGTAAGAGACGACTTCCTGAACAGAACACCAACAGCACAGGCTCTTAAGATCAACAATCAGTAAATGGGACCTCATGAAAGTTTCCATGTGTCAAAGGACACTGTTATTCAAAGTGAAAATATTTTTACTAATTACACAGCTAATGAAGGTCACATATCCAAAATATATAAAGAGCTCAAAAACTAGATATAAACAAAACAACTAACCCAATTAAAAAATGAAGTGCTGACTGTGCTGGCACACAATTTTTATCCCGGCACTCAGGAAGGCAGAGGCAAACAGATCTCTGTGAGTTCAAAGCCAGCTTAGTCTTCAAAGTGAGTCCAGAACAGCTAAGGCTACACAGTGAAACCCTGTCTTGAAAAACAAAAAAACAAAAACAAAAACCACAAAAAGGTGTAGATCTAAACAGAGAATTCTTAGTACTGGAATCTCAAAATGGCAGAGAAACACTTAAAGAAATGTTCAACACCCTTAGCCATCAGGGAAATACAAATCAAAACTACTTTGATATTCCATCTTTCACCGAGCAGAATGGCTAAGATCAATAAAACAAGTGATAGCTCATGCTGGTGATGATTTGGAGCAAGGAAATCACTAATTCATTGCTGATGGAAGTTGAAACGTGTACAAACATTATGAAAATCAATATGGCAGTTCTTCAGAAAGTTGGAAATTGATCCACCTCAAGAGCCAGTTATACCACTCTTGGGCATATACCTAAAGGACACTATATCCTACCACAAGGACATTTGCTCAGTCATATTCATTGCTGCACTGTTCATAATAGCCAGAAACTAAAAACAACTTAAATGTCCCTCAAGAGAAGAATGGATTTTAAAAAGTGGTAAATTTACACAATAGAGTATTACTTGGCAGTTAAAAATATGAAACTCACAGGTAAATGGATGGGAGGAGAACAGAGAGGGAGGGTGGGATTGGGAGGGAATGAAGGAGGGGGCTACAGCTGGGATACAAAGTGAATAAACTGTAATTAATATAAAAAATAAAAATTTAATTGAAAAAAAAAAACAACCCATCCTGAGTGAGGTATCCCAGATCCAGAAAGACAAATATGGTACATATTCACTTACATGTCGATAATGGTGGTTAACTCAATAATAACCAAGTTACAATTTGTAGAATCACAGAGGTTAGGTACAGAGTATGTGACTAGGAGATATAGATAGATCTCATTAGGACTGGGAAAAGGTTATGGATATTTATAGATAGTTGGGTGGGCTGGAATGGGAGGATCAGTTGGGGAGGGACAGGGGATAAGGGGATGATGGAGGAAATATAGGGAGAGAAAGTTAATATTAAGGGGCATTGGAGAGGTAGTATGGAAACCTATTACAATAGAAGCTTCCATAATATATGCATATATTATGATGATTTAAATGAAATCACCAAATAATGGGTGACACAGAGTCCCATCTGCCCATCCCTTATCAGCAAAAATGTTTAAGCTTCCAGTACTGGGATTGGGTTACATCCAATTGAGTTGTTGGCCCAAAGGGTCATATGGGAATCCCCAAACAACCCAAGCTATTGCCAAGACTACAGGTTGCTCTCCACAAACTTACAGCAAGGTCCCGTTGCTGAATAAAACACCTACACAAATCATTGAATAAGGAGAAATTGAACTGGTACCTACATAGCCCCTATGTTCTTGGTACAGGAAGGTACTCTGCAGGCTACCAAAAGAGAAACATAAACAATACCCTAGCCACACGCACCTTGATTACAATGGAGTCCTGCCTGCAAAATATGCTGGGGTGGCATAAAGTTTGTGGGAGTGCAACCAATATCTGATTTGACTTAAAGGCGCACTCCACAAGATAGAACCTAAACCCAACACTCCTTGGGTGACCAAGAACCTCAGACTAGATAGACTAGAGACCTAGAGAAAAATCAAATAATAATAATGTTCAAAAAACAAAACAAACAAACATTGTAGCAAAAACTAAATCTTGATGACATCCTGCTATACTCAGATCACTGCCTTGTGCAGCCATCATCAGAGATGCTTCCTCCTGCAGAAGATGGGAAGAAATAGTCACCCACAGCCAGACATTATTCACATAGTGACATACCTTTCAAAACTCAGCCCTAAATTAGATGTCTCTATCAAATCCATTCTCCTTCTGAGCTTAGGGAACCCCACTGAAGAGGAAGTAAAAAGTGTAAGAGCCATAGAGGATAGAGGACCTCAAGAAAACAAGGCCCTCTAAATCAACATGAGCAAAACTCATATGATGAACTCAGAGACTGAAGCAGCATGCACAAGCCCTGCATAGGTCTGCACCAGGTCCTCTGCATATATGATATGGCTTGTAGTTTAGTGTTTTTTAATGGAATTCTTGAGTATGTCAATGAGTATATCTCTTATGACTTCTCTTGGGCTCTTTTCATTCTGTTTGCTTTTCCTGTCCAACTCTTATGTGTTAATTTTTGCTTTATCTTAGTATGTTATTTTGTTATAAAACAGAAGTGAATAAATGATAAGTATTAAGAGACTTTAAAAACACTAAGTTCATATAAACCTGTTTCTATAGTGTTGAAAATTGAGAAACTGCTACATTGTTCATTCTAAAAGATGAGTCATTATAGCTTATGGATAAAAATGATCATCACTTGATATAAGAGTATGATTACATCGTTAAAATATACTTAAGAAAATCTATAACTCAAATATGCTTCCCAAATACACTTCAAAAGTTTAGTAATAAACACACTCCATAGGGATAACTGTATTCCATTTCTTTTTTAAAAGGTAACTGGAAAGGATGATTAAAGCAAGGAGCTACATTAAAATTTAAGTACACTAGCATCTTTGTATTCAAACAGAATAATTTCCAGCAGAAATAACAGGGAAATCTTATTATATGCTTTAGCCTTGGTCGGTTCTGGAAGTACAGACCTGTAAGACTTGGTTTTCTATCACCCAAACCCAAGCCACAAGCTTCCATGTTTCTTAATTTAGTCAAAAAAGTTTATGCTTGAAAGAAGCGTTGGAAACCACCAAATCCAACCCCTCATAGCAGAGACAAGCAAGCCCAGGCCCAGAGCAGACAATCATTTTCCCCTGTGTTATACAACAAATATGAATCAAATGGCTAAATCTCTTTGCTCCTGTGCAAGTGCTACTTCCACTAACTCATTGTATCGTGGTGCTGAAAGAAGGCATGTTACATCACTGGGACCAGATTTGGGAGCAGGTCTTTCTCACAGCCAATACTTGGGCAACACCAAATAGCCTGGAACACTTTTACCCTATGTAAGTTGCTGAGCTAGCTAGGGTGGGAAGCTCCCAGGACCTCACCTCTTCTTCTCGGAGCTTCTGCTTCCTCTTCTCTTCCACTGCAGCCCTCTTCTGCTTTCCCCGCTGACGCTGCTCCTCAAGTTTTCTCCATCTCTCCTCAATTTGTTTCTCATACTGAAGCTTGGCTCTTTTCTGCTTCTCTAAGATCTGTTGTTCTCTGGCAGCTGAGAAATGGGAGCAGAAGTGTCATTCCAAGGGCTCCTCATGCAGGTTGGATTAAGACCAAAAACACAGAAACAACAATCTGATGTAATCCTAGCTAGGATGCAGTGATTGAGATTAAATGTTGTTATCTCTGCCACTAGTTAAGTGGTGTGGGGCATGTTAACTATGTTATCTCTCTGCCTTGGTTTCCTTCTCAGTTACACAGGGACAGTAATAGCAATATAGTGAAGAAAATGATATAATGCATGTAAAACACAAAATAAGTACTTCCACACATTGGAATTATGGTTATTACTGCTATCATTAAGCCAAACTTGTATACAACATTAAGCCACACAGTGACTAGAATGATGATATTTTAAGGGTACATTCAATCAAAATCATGCTAAACAAATATCCACAGCGATCTGGGCAATGTATCAAAATACATAAAGTCTGGTCTTCCCTTCAAATCATTTACTAAGAAGCTCTTCCCAGCCTAGGCAGGCTATGGAAAGGTTCTTTGGCGGTGGTAGTGCCTGAACTGCCCAGGGGGTCAAACAAGAATCCAATAACTACTTATTCATATCAGATCAATGGGGGAAATTATCATCTACCTACTTCACAGAACTCCATGGTGATATCTATAACCAACAAGAAGTTAAAAAAAATAAAACTATTTCTCAACTGGGCATGCTGTTGTAAGGCAGAAAATGAATGCCTGTTTTCTCAGGTCTCTTGAGGATGGTCCTTCTAGATCACCTTCTAGAGAAGGTGAGTGTACACAAGACCTGGGCGCAATAAGTTCTTCCTCAAATCAGAGGAAAACAATTGTTTTGTTTATGTATATGGGTGTTTTTCTGCATGTATGTATGTGCACCATGTATGTGCAGTATCAAAGGAGACAAAAGAGGGTATTGGATTCCCTGGGACAGTTGTAAACTGACATGTGTGTGTGCTGGGAATCGAACTGTGTTCTCTGGAGGAGCAGTCAGTGTTCTTAACAGCTGAGCCATCTCTCCAGCCCCATGGAAGCAACTGTTGTCCATAGCTCCAAGCATACTGCGTAGGATACAATGGAGGTTCAATATTTGTTGAACGAATAAGCTGTTCACAGAATTATATAGTTTTTGTGGACATTTCAGCCCTGTGTGAGTTTACCCTCAATTCTTCAGACTCAACTATCAAATCTTAATTCTCGTCCCAGATTTATAAGGACCTTTAGAAATGATGCTACCTCATTTGTACTTTCTTGGACTTCAAAAGCCAAAGTATGCAACTTACCCAGACATTTTTCTCTTTCTTTTCGTCTCTCTTTGGCTAACCTTTGCCTCTCATCTGATTTTAAAATTCCATCCATGCCTACGAGATAGAGAATATACTTTTTAGTTCATTTATTCTTTGTCTACTATGTGCTAGAGATTGTTGGGTCCATCCGTGTCCCTGGGTCTAGATATACACACGTGTTATCCATTGTCAGCAATTCATTTCAAGGAACTTACTTTCTATCACACACCCTTGCCACCTGTTAGGGGCAAGCAGTCCCGGCTTCTACGTGCGCTTGCCGACATGTGGTGCAGTGGTGCTGGCAACTGCCCTTTAACGAATCCTTGTCCCAAGGCCTGACCCTGGAGGGGTCAGAGATAAAATGAAGTGACACAGAAACCTAGCAGTGTGCAGAGACACTCATCAGTGCTATTCTAATCATGGCTTGTAGTTCCAAGGCAGAATAATTTAGGGGGGGAAGAGAAGACAAAAAGTGAATATGATTTGGCTCTCAATTATTATACACAGGAAAAATATTGAATTTTCTAGAATAAGTCAACTGTGGCGAATATACACAAGCACCTCAGGAGAACTCTGCAAAATGCAACCTTCAAGTTTAGTTTTATTTCTGGCAAGTTTGCTTTGATGTCAATCTTAGTATTTCAGAATTACAAAGAAAAAAAATCAATACACTCCTATGTACTTAGCATACAAATATCTCTAACAAATAAGATGAAACAAATAACAGCTGCCCCCAAAAATGTCCAGAAAATATCCCTGCGCCTTCATATCCCTTCCCCATTCCTTTCAAGGCCCTGAAAAGCTTTCTAAATTCAGGATGAAATAAATAAGAGCTGTTTAACTCAGGATGAAATAAATAAGAGTTTAGAATAATTTATTGCACACTCTTACTATTGGTTGGTTGTTCATGAAAATTAGCAATACACAGCTTAAGCATACCATTCTGAAGAAACAAGCTTTATTTTAATGCAACTCTGTTCTTAGTGCCTAGGCCCTTCCTCTCCGGGAACTACATACCAATGTCATATGTTTTACTGCCATAGCAACTTGCACTTTTCCCAGAGGCTCTTCTACTTCTGTTTGAAAGGGGGTCACAGAAACAAGGCCTGCAGTGTAGGTGATGAGTATATAGATGGATGACATGACGGATTAAATTGTCATGATTTCCATTATGTGTTTGGTTTTGCAGTATAAAATATGTATCAGGGATATTAAAAAGATAATTACAAGAAAAATCCAACCCTTGACTACAAAGTGACATTAACCATGTTTGGTTTTAGTAAGTTCTTAATTATTAGGATTATCATTAATAATGATTATAAAAATAAAAATTTATAGTCAGTATAAATCAAAATTTATAATAGTATAAATCAAAATTTATAAACCAATCAAAAACATAATAATTAATCACAATAAAAGCATGATTAATACAATTATATATAAATGTCATCATAGATTTAAAGACCCAACTCCAACTCATTCCAGGCCCTCAACCATGTGACTTTTAACTCCTTTTCTAACTTAATCTCAGCACTTCTTCTCTCCTCCCCAATCTTCTAGTTTACATTGCCTGCCCCTTCTTCCATCACCACCACTAAAGACTGCTATCTTTTTTTCAAGATTTTATTTATTTATTTTATGTATGAGTGATCTATGTGCATGTGTGCCTGCATGCCAGAAGAAGGCATCAGATTCCAGTAGAGATGGTTGTAAGCCATCATGTGGTTGCTAGGGATTGAACTCAGGACCTCTGGAGAAGGCAGTGCTCTTATCCGCTGAGTGACACTGCCATCTTTTTAACCTCACCCACCTTCAAGGATCCAAGATCCATAATGCTCCATGCTCCCATACAATTTATGAAGCCCTTACTTCAGCCTTCTTTCTTGTACAGAAAAGTAGCTTCCAGAGCTACTTATAACGGGGATTTCACCAGGTTTACTGAGTTCCAGCTACCACCTCTTATGCAATGTGTCCAACACACACACACACAAACACACACACACACACACACACACACACACACACACACAGAGAGAGAGAGAGAGAGAGAGAGAGAGAGAGATTACTGTAAAGCAGCCATGAAGTTAGTGATAGAAGAATAAGAAGAAAACATCAGTTCTTTTCTTAAAATACTTTTAGGTTTTAGTCTCTACCTCAAGTTCCTCAGGTATGAATTTGTTCTGTCTGAAAGGCTTTAAACAAACAAACAAACAACAAATCCTAAGAGGCCTTGGTTAAATGCAGCCTACACCAAATGGCCTGCCCTAAGCCGGACCTGATCCTTGACTAGTACACCACACCACAATCTTGATAACAGGTCTGTTTTACATCTGAGGCAATTGTGGGGACTGATCAAAATGTTTTTCAATCAGACAAGAAAAAACTGGAAATAAAAAAATGGTCAAAAAGCTTCCTATATCTCCTTGGACTTTACAAACAGAACAGATGGCTGTTACATGGACATGCAAGGTCTCAGGCTGCCCTCTTGTGGACAAATGTAAGAGATATAAATTTCCCTTCCAGAAAACCTTTACGATCAGAGTCATGGTCATCAGCAGCAGCTTCATCATAATAGTGATGACAATCAAGCAGTTACCATGGACAAACTGCAGAAGGAAAGACTGGAGGATCATCTTCAACTATATAACTAGTTCAAGACCAGCCTGGGTTTCATGCTACCTTGTGTGTACACACATACGTACGTACACGCGCGCGCGCACACACGCACGCACACACACACACACACACACACACACACACATCACTGTGAACAAAGTACACTACATGAATTTATTGGGCTTAACAACCCTATGATGGCAGAGGTATTATTCTGAGCCTCATCTTACAAGTGTAAAAACAGAAGTACAAAATATTTAATTAACTTGTTCCAAGTCACATGGTTAAAAGTGGAGAAGCTGGATTCTATCTAACCTGGGAACTTGACTCCAACACTCAACTTTATATTAAGAGTTTTTCAGAGAAGATGTAGCATCTCCTTTGGTGCTTTGATCCTTCAAAAGAACAAACTGTGTCCTAGTACCATGAACCTGAAAAATCTGGAAAAGCAGAAGTGTAAGTATGATTGAGAAGTATGAATTAGGCAGTACTGAGAGGGAAATACCGGCCTGGCTGTACAGATATGCAGCAACTACCCCTTCAACTCATTATTTGATTCTCTCTCAGGCTGATGGTTTGGAAGTATTTACTCAGTGCTATCTTAGAGATTGATGCTGGATGGAGAATGAGTGAAAGCCAGAGGACTCTGGGAACAACTTAAGTTCCTCCTGGCTTAAGCAAGCAATTCAGTTTTGCCGCACTGCTAACAGCCTAACATGGGTAACCTGGAATCTCTGTGTCATCTCTTTTGCAGCCATGAATTACACAAGAACAAATATGAGTTCAGTTCCTAGGTCACACAAAACGCATTAGGCACTCCATAAGCACATTGAATTGCTACTCTACTAAAAACAGCAATGGTGAAGAAGACTGGCAGCTCACGCCTGTGCTTCTCTCCTCTCAAGTTTAGTGACTCTGGGTCAGATGAGGAAAAGGGATATGTGAGTTCAATTAGGATTGAAGTTTTACTGGCAGTGGCGGTTTGAGTGAGGCGTGAGGATGGCCCCCATAAGCTACTGTATTTGAATGTTTGGCTCCAGTTGTTGAAACTGTTTGGGAAAGATTAGAAGGTGTGGCCTTGCTGGATGTGGTTTTCCACTGGAAATGAGCTTTAAGGTTTCAGAAGTCCTCCTCCCTTCATCTTCCCTCCCTCTTTGCCACCTTCGGAGAAAGGATATAAAGCTCTCAGCTACTGCTCCAGGCCAGGCTTGACTGCTTCCTACCATGATAATCATGCACTAACCCTCTGAAACTGTAAGCAAGTTCCTAATTAAATGTTTTGTTTATAATAACTGACTTGTTCGTGGTGTCTCTTCAAAGCAATAGAGCATTAACTATGACACTGGGTAAGACACCTAAGGCCCCAACTGTTTCTTCCAAACAGCATATGTCTCTATTTAATGGTCAAAACATTTCAAGAACTTCTCATTTAAAGAAAAGCTAAATAACTCATCTCCATCTTCTATCTTTTGACTACTGGCAAATCTGCAGAGGCTGACAAGAGACCTTTGGACTCATCCCAAGGTAAGGAGAGTTGGAAAATAAATGAAATTTCCATGAACTTGACCAGATACTACTAATAACAAAACAGCTAAATTTAAGACAGGGGACTCATGGGAGATTATCAGGAACAACAATGCAGGAAATCTTTCTAAAGAAATGATATGATCAAAGATTTAACTCCAAAAGGAAGTCATTCTGTGTCACCTAAAATTCTAGTTTGTTTACCTATACAATCACCCTTTATTCTATTGTGCTTTACATGAAGACATTTAGTCTCTTTTTAAGAACCAGAGACATAATTTTATCTTATAAGCCCCCATGAGAATAGGTGGCTGACAGAACTGTACGTATTAAGATTTGTGGGGGTAGGGGTAATAGGAAGTAGACACCTATAATGGGCTTCACGAAGAGGATCCTTGTGGTGAAGAAAAGGTTCTCTATTTTGACTGCATTAATATAAACACACTGGTTGTGACATTGCATTATAATTTGGAGATCTTTCTGTAATACTTCCTGTAACTACATGTAAATCAACAATGACCTCAAAACAGAGACACTAAACTATGAAGAAAACAAATCTGGCTCAAAGATGAAGACCTGGGACAGACGCAAACACAAAGAGGTAGCAAGGGATACCTTGGCTGAGATAGCCTTTTCAGAAGGTGCTGTTTTAGCTATCCCTGTTCCCGTTCTAAATGTAGTAACACTTGCCAAGGCAACTGCATGCAAATTGTATTCTGAAATACAATTTCTAAATACAAAAATACAAAACAGTGATACTGAGCAAGCAAACAACAGCATAATCCCACACTTCGCTGATGTATTGTTAGCAGGAATAGCTTCCCATTATCCTTGAGCTGCAGCAACATATTCTTAAAGACTCATTTTGAGATGAATTTTATTAGCTTGAAGCACTCTACTAGAATATTAATTAGTTAATATTAATTAATGATTCA